GGCCGGGGACCCGCGCGCCGCCTGTGCTCGCCTGGCGCTCCGCGGACTGTCCCGTTTCCCCCCGTGCCCCGGGGGCGGGAGGACGGGCGCTGGGCCTGGCCAGGGCTGGGACAAGACCCCCCGGTTCCCGGGGCGCTGCGGAAAGGAACGGGCCCGTGCGCGCAGGAGCGGCCCTTTGCACGGGCCGGGGGGGGGGCGACCGTGGCCTTCGGGGCTGGTAGCCGCTGGCTGCCTCCGACCGGCCAAGAATAGCGCCCCTGCTGGAACACGCGAGCTGCGTGCATGTGCGCAAGGGGTCACAGGCCTCGTGGCACAGCGACCCTCCGGAAAGGCGTCTCCGCTGTCGCTGCTGCGATCTCCGGCGGTGCAGTGAAAGCGCTGCTGCGCGGATCCGACCCACAGCGCGCTTCCCTTTGGGGCGCCTCTTCTCTTTCCCAGGCCTCCAGCTGCACCTGCACAATGACTTCGGCGTGGGCTCTTCTTCCTGGAAGTGGTTGCGATGTTGTTGAGGAGCAGAGGGCCCGATGGGAGAGGAAGCGCTGCCGGGCAGCTGGGCAGCTGGTGGAAACCGAGCAGCGTTACCTGGAGCACCTGGCGCTGGTGGTCACGGTGAGGAGCTGGCCTCGTGCTGCACGGTGCCCTGCTGCGTGGGGCCTGGGTGGCCACCCTGAGCTTGAGCACGTGCTGAGGCAAGACAGCTGGGCTCCATTTCCAGCAGCTTTTGCATTGGCATCAGTTCACAGGTGGAGCTGGGTTGGGCCAGATGTAAGTGGAAGTAATTATCCACATTCAGACACTTTTCCAGGGAAAAACCAACTGAATGGCTTAAGCCATTTTAAAGTCATGGACAGTACACATTAAGAAAAAGAACAAAAGAAGATGCAACAGTAAAACGAGCAATGGCATAGAGAAAATAAAAGATAACTTAAAAGCACCGTAGCCAAAAATCCCTCATGAGCTACAATGAAATTAAAACTTGCCTCCAGTACCTGTTTAAAAGGGGGCACCCCATGCCAGATGCAGCATCAGGGGGGGTGGGGGGGGTGGAGATGCAGTTTCCCTGGTGGAGGTGTATGGCAACAGCATGGAGGTTTTGGGAGAGGTTGACTGTGCCTTGAAGGAGAGTGCAGAGAGAACTCTGGAAGGGGGACCTGAGGTAGCCAGGGCATGGCTGCCACCTCTGGCTGCAGCCAGGGCTTTTGCTCCTTGAGGGCAGGGAGGGAGGGAGATGGTTTGGCCTGGCACTGGGAGGAGGACGTGCCTGTTTTGCCATCCAGATGGTGGGGATGCACACGCCGTCCCTGGGGCATCCGCCTCTGGGCTGCTGAGATCAAGGCCCACGTGCTCAGGGACTGCCTGTGAGGGAACGGCTTGGTGTATCTGTTCTTGCATTGCACAGTACTTCGTGGCCATCCTGCGGGCCAAGGGGACTCTGAAGCCAGCAGTGCAAGAAGCCATCTTTGGATCCATGGAGTCGATCCACTTGGCCAGCCAGTAAGGAGTTTACGTGATGCACCTTGGGTGGGGGGGGCACCGTGGGTATGTTATGGGGTTTCCCTCTGACTCCCACCATGCAGCCATCTCTTTCTAACCCGAGCATTCAAAAGCTGCCGTGCCTCTGTCTGCTGCTACCAACTGACTGGTCAGGCTGCTAGAATGCCTTGAAGTTTTCATAGGTACTTCTTGACCTACCTAGAATGCATGGACCATTTCAGTAGATATGGCTTGAAAAACCCAAGGTACAGAATTAAAGAAGTGAATTATTTGAAGAATTAAAGTTTGAAGCACATATAATGAAAAAGGAAGAGAATGTTTCAGAACTAGCAAAAGGCATGAAACATAAAAAGTTCCATAGGAAAATTTCTCCCTTTACTGTCTGACAGGTCACCCTCACACCCAAGAACAAATCCCGCCAGCTAATCTGATTTCATTTTTTGATTAGGTAATGTCCCTGGTGGACTGTGGGAATGCTGCGGATATAATCTAGCTTGAATTTAGCAAAGATTTTGACAAAGTGCCCCATGATCTCTTGATTAGTAAACTGGTGAAAAGTGAGCTGGATGGAACCATGACCAGCTGGATCTGCAGCTTCTTAAACTGAGAAGTAAATGTGGGGTAGCACAGGTCCAGTGCTCTTCAACATTTTTATTAATGACTTGGATGAGGAAGTACAGGGAATAATTATCAGATCTGCAGATGATACAAAATTGGGTGGGATAGCTAATACCATGGAAGACAGACAGAAGATTCAAAGTGATCTTGATAGGTTGGAACACTGGACTGAAAACAATAGAATGAAATTCGACATGGACAAATGCCACATTCTGCACCTATGAGAGAGAGCCAAATGCATGGTGACCAGATGGGTAATCCGTGGCTCAACAACACCGCAAGTGAGAAGGAACTTGGAATTGTTGTAGATCACAAGCTGAACATGAGTCAACCATGTGATGGGGCTGAAGAAGGGCAAGTGCTCTTTGGGCTGCATTGATAGAAGTAGTGGGCAGTACTGTTGAGCCAGGTGTTCCCCAGGGTTTAAGCAGGGGGTTGTTGTAGATCACAAGCTAAATAAGAGCCAACAAAGTGATGTGGATGCAAAAAGGGCAAATGCTATTTTGGGCTGCATTAACAGAAACATCACTTTGAAAACACATGGAAGTACTGGTTCCACTATACTCGGCACTAATCAGACCTCACCTGGAGTACATCTGGGCACGAGTGTAGGGAAGATACAGAAAAGCGAGAAAGGGTGCAGAGGAGGGCAGCACAAATGGTTCAGGGACTGGAGGCAAAGCCCTACGAGGAGAGATTGAGAGAGCTGGGCAGGTGGGCTTCAGGAGGGGGGGACTAGGGGGACATAGGGTAGCACTCTTCCACAACCTGAAAGGCTGTCACAAACAGGAAGGGCAAGATCTCTTCTCATTCATACCAGAGTGCGGGACACGGAATAACGGACTTAAGTTTAAAAAACCTGTCTTTAGAATAATACCATGAAGAATTCCCTGACTGTCAGAGCAGTACAACAATGAAACGTATTACCTGAGGAATGTGTGGGCTTTCCCTTGCTGGAGACACTCAAAAACCGTTTGGACAGTCATCTAAATGGACGTAACTTAGTTACCTGCAAGAGCAGCGGGTTGGATCAGATGGCCGCCTCGCCCCTTGCAGCTCTACTGCTCTATGATTCTCATTCAGGAAAAGAGGAATCCATAAGGACTCAGCAAGGTTAAGTTTTGTAGAAAACATACGTTTAAATCTTAGAAGAGATTTTTTAACATATCTCGTTTGCAGTACTGTTGAGCCAGGTGTTCCCCATCTCATAGTGGTGCATTTGGTTTCTTGTCCCCAAGTGGAGGACTTGGCATGTCTCCCTTCTGAATTTCATTCTGTTGCCCTCTGCCCAGCATTCTGATCTATCAATATCACCCTGGGTCTTATCTCTGTCTTCTGGGGTATTTGATATTCTAACCAGCTTTGAGTCATCTGCAAATTTAATTAGCTTTCCTTATACTTCCTCATCAAAATCAGGGGTCCTCAAACTTTTTAACCAGGGGGCCAGTTGAAAGCTGCCAGTGCTGGGCGGGCTGGAAATGTGGTGCCGGCGGTGGGCGGCGCGAGGCGAGGTGAGGCGGGCGCACGAGGCAGCACCTTGCTCGATTGGAGATCGTTTTCTCCGAGCAAGCAAACCGCTGCCTCCCCGCATGTAGTGCAAGGTGGGCGGTGGTGGGCACACGTGCGGTGGGTCCAAATGGGCATGGCGGGCTGGATAAATGGGCATGGCGGACCGGATCCGGCCCCCAGGCCGTAGTTTGAGGACCCATGATCAAAATCATTAATAAAGCTGTTGAAGAGCACTGGTCCCAGGAAAGAACCCTGCAGCACCCCCTTGTCACCTCCCTGCAGTCTGAGAATGTGCTGTTGATGAACAACCTTTGATTCCAATTTTGCAGCCAATTGCGGATCCACCCAATGGTTGCTCTATCTAGCCTGCTTTTTGCTGGTTTGGTAATCAGGATATCACAGGGCACTTTGTTGAAGGCTTTGCTACATTCTAGATAGATTATGTCCACGGTATTCCCACAATCCATTTGGGAGGTTACCCAGTCAAAACATTTGTAAGATTTGTTCTTGAGAAATCTATGTTGGCTTCTAGTAATTACTGCATTGTTTTCAAGGTGTTTGCAAAATATTTTATAATTTGCTCTAGACTTTTTCCAGGGATTGATGCCAGACTGGAAGGTCTATAGTTCCCAGGTTCATCTTTTTTTCCCTTTCTTATACATGGGGACAACATTAGCCCTTCTCCAATCATCTGGCACTTCTGCCAGGTTGGAATGTGTTTAGAATAGGCAGAAATGATGAGCGGCACAGAAACAGCTACTCAAGGAAGGCTTTTTCAAAATCGCATTATTTTCTCTTGAACTTTAGCCCTATCTTAGGGTTAGGCGTATGCACCAGGGTAGGATTAGGGTTACAAAAATGAGGTGTCCTGGCATGATTTTGATGGTTTGACCATGTTTAGAATGGGCAGAAATGATGAGCTGTGCAGAAAAAGCTGCTCAAGGGAGGCTTTTTCAAAATTGCATTATTTTCTATATTAGGGTTAGGGGAGTGCACCAGGATAGGGTTAGGGCAGTAGTGGTTAGCCGATGGTACACGCGCCACAGCGGGCACCCAGAGCCCTCTGTCAGCACGGGAGCCAAGTCACCCCAGCAGCTGAGCATCAGATAACACCGCACACAGGGGCCATGCACCTGCTCGGAAAGGAGTCGCGGCGCCAGGGGATGACGTCACGAGTCACAATTCATTAGCTGCTACTTGGCCGAGCTTTCGCATGGCCAGTCAGTGCGCTGCCAAGGGTATATATAGATTTGCTTGGACTGGCTGTGAGTTGTTTTTTCTAAACGAAAACCTCAGTTTCCAGGTTTTATTGTAGTGCTGGCACTTTGTGATAAATAAGTGGGTTTTGGGTTGCAGTCTGGGCACTCGGTCTCTGAAAGGTTCGCCATCGCTGCTCTAGGGTGAGGTTCAACATGCCCTGGAGATTTTAACCCATTTGGCCCAACTGGAAGGTCCTTGACCAGGCGGCGGTCAACCTGCGGCTGCCGTCCCTCCCTCCAGGTTGTGCTGCACCATCGCCAGGATGGCCGCGGTGGTTCTTTCGGGGGAAGGCTGAGCCAAAGTAGGAGCTCAGCACTTCTGCCTTTTCTTTCTCGTCTGTTCCCATCGTTCCTTCCATGGTGAGCAGCTGAACTCCCTTCTCTTTCATCCATCCTTTGGCTTGGGTGTATTTGACGAAGGCTTCGCTGTTGTTTCCAGCTCTCGTGCCAGCCTCAGGTCCTTCACTGCTTTCGCCTTCCTGATGCCACGCCGCACTTCCTTGCAAAGCCTCCCATGGGGATGACATTATGTCCACATGAAATTCTGGCAGTTTGGTTTTTGAACGTTTCATCTTTATCCTCACCTTGGTTGGTGGATGATGATTGACTCCATCCGCTGTACTTCTTTTATTCCTTTTTCCATTTATATTAATTTCCATTTATATTAATCAATATTAATACACTCAGTGGGATTATTGGTCTCTTCTTCCTATATTTCTTTGCAGAGATATGCATCTTTAACATAAGGTGCAACTCTGCTGCCTTTTCTGTTACCTTTCTGAATCCTTGGTGTTCAGTCCGGGGTGCATAATTAGGGCGCTTTTCCCGGGGTTACCCTCTCTTTGTGGGAGGGGGAAGAGTGAGATTGAGCCCAGACGGGGTGCAGAAACATGGCGGTGTCCCTGCCTTGGCCATGCCTGGTTCAGGGGCTCCTCCCTCCTCTGCTTCCAGGAATCTGCTTCTTCACCTGCAAGGTGGCCACCTGGTGCTTGGGCTGGAGAGCTTCTGCCACCAGCTGGAGCTCTATGTCTGCTATGCGGAGAACTTGGAGCAGGCCAGGAGCACCTTGGAGGTAAGCCTTCCTGCTTCCGCCACCAGTGCGCCATCTGGGCTGGAGTCCAAGCAGCAGTCTCAGGTGCACAGCTTTGCTCACTCAGGGCTGCCTCGGCCTGCAGCTGTCACGGTCTCCTTACGGCTGGGGGTCTCCTTTGCCTCTTTGCTGACAAAAGCCGGGGTGTGGCCAGGCCAGGGCGGAGGGCTGGTGGGTGGCCACTGATCCCTAACCCTAACCCTCTCTCCTTTGCAGAAACAGCTGAGGAAGAACAAATCTTTTTCCCACTTCAAAAAGCTGCAGGAATCCCGGCCAGAGTTCAAGGGATACCGGCTGGAAGATCTGCTCCTTCTGCCCCTGCAGAGGCTCCATCAGTAAGTGGCAGCCTTCACAGAAGGGGCACCTCATGGGCCGATGTTGTCCACAAAAGTGAGATTTCATGCTGGTGTGTGCAATAACCAATCAACACTCCAGGGTGTGAGGTGGCAAAAAAAGGTCCGCGTGCACAAGTACCCTTTTATCACCCTTTACACAAATGTAAACAAGTGCTAACACAGTCTTGTCCTTCAGGGTCACGGAATCGCCTCCTTCCTAAGCCAATGGATGGACACATCTGGGTGGGGGGAACTCTGGCACGCCCTTCACTGACATGTTCCTCTGTTTTCTGTGGGAAGCCATCTTGTAGAGGACCGCGGGCAGGCGTGAGAGTGGCCCTCCTGAAGGCAGATGGCACGGCTAGGCTGCGAGGCAAGAGGCTGTGGGCCTCCTGCAGCTGGAGCAGGGCGAGAGCCATTAGCCTTTCTAGCTTTCACTTCTCTTGGGCAGGTACAAGCACTTCCTGCAGGATTTGGTGGAGAACACCCACCCAGAAAGGTCTGACTTCAAGCAACTTACAGGTCAGAATTTCAGCTTTTGTGTCAGCTCCACTGGAACTTGTAATCAAAACTAAAGTACACTTGACAGGTCCCCTGCCTGATGGCACGACCCCCCCTGCTGTTCCTTCCCCCAGTGGGTCCACAGTGGCGTTGCCCATTCTTGGTTGTTACTGTGTCCTTTGCAGGAATTCTCAAGTCTGTCTTGGAGGTATTTCACAAAGTCCAGGAAATAACTCGTTTTCATGAAAACTTCAATCACATGCACAGAGTTCAGAAACTGCTGAAAGGACAGAAGACCAGAGTGTTGGCACCAGGTGAGCTCTCTGCATTTGTGGCTAACCTCCTGCACTGTGGGGAGATGATGGGGAAGCCTGATGGCACAGAGGGGGCTATGAATGGGAAGTGCCTGTTAATCTTGGAGTCTTGCAGGAGCCGTTCACACCTCTCTGGGTTCACATGCAGGAATCTGAGTGGGCTGTTAAAAGAGGGAAGCTGGCCTGGGGCTACAGCATGGCTGAATCCAGGCAAAATGAGTTCAGGCCTCCGATTCAGACAACCTCCATGCCTGCTGGTGGTGGAATAGGAGGCTGTCCAACCTCAGTTGAGGGTCGTTGCTTTTTCTGGATGGGGTTGTCCTGACGGTTCCCAGCTTGGCGTGCTGCTCGATCATTCTGGGGTAGGATTCCGAGGTCAAACCCTACCACGGTTGTGGATGCTACGGGTTCCAAACTGGTTTGGAAAATTACATTGTACAAAATGCTGCTGCCGCCACCAGCAAATTTTTAGCTAAAGCAGTGCTGGTTTTGGCCTTCAGAGCCCTGCGTGGCTTGAGACTTGGTTGTCTGAATGACTGCAAGAGGACCCGTCTAGGTGCCTTATCAAAGAAGTCTTGATTTAGCCTTGAAGATGGTCAGTGGAATTCATGGCCAGATACTCTCCTTGTTCTCATGCGGTCACCAAGTGCTTGCATTAGCTGTCAGAGCCAGCACCGCACGCTTCCTGGACGGCCAGTCTGCACCAGGCGACTGTCCGCATCCCGCATCCTTTCTTCTGCTTCCAGGGCGCTGGTACCTCCAGGAAGGTTGGCTAATGGTGGTGCCCTGCAAGGGAGGGGAGGTGCAGCGCCGGATGTTCTTCCTCTTCTCGGATGTCTTGCTGGTGACTAAGCCCTGCCATCCACTCCATCCCTGGAATTCGCATAAGTTTGCTTGCGAAGCCATCTACCCGCTCAGCCAGTGCACCGTGGGGAAAGTGTTTGGTCATACCCGGAGTCAAGGTGGGCTGCTCAGTGTAAGTCTCCCACATTCCACACCAGTCACAGTCCCTGCGTTGTGACTGCTGCCGCCCGCTCACATCCTTTTGCTGGGGTCTGAGAAGGGATCTTCGGGGTATCTGTCGTCTGGTTGCACTGCGGCAGGTGCCAGGGAGAGAGGGTCGCTCTGGTGACCTGGCCTGACTGGGCATGACCGAAGTGAACTACCGAGCTAGGAGTGGCCGCTGCGCGTGCAGGGCTGAGGCACGCTAGCATGCTTGCTACCATGCAAGTTCACCCCTGCTGTTTCTGACTCTCAAGCTGGGTTACGAAGCGCCTCTGTGATCGGGTTACCGCCAAAGCTCTTCCTTTCAGTTGTCCTTCTCACACGCAAAGTTACTGCTGATGTCCCATGATCAGGAGGACTTCAACACATGGACCCAAAATTTGGAGGCTGCTGTCAGGTAAGTCTCTCTCTCTCACGTGTTGACCTACATAAATGAAATCCCTCTCCCAGGAGCTCAGGTGGTGTGCAAAGTACACCCCCCTGCATGTTAACCCTTGCAGCTCTTCTGCGAGGTGGATGGGGCCACAAGATGGTGACCTAGAGATACCTGTGAGCCCCGAGGCCGAGAGCGGGCTTGAATCCACGGCTCGCCCAGGCCTCGTCTCGACACGAAGCACTGCATCCCGGGGTCGGTGCTCGCCAGCACACGGGGCGGTGCCTGGGAGACCGCTGTGTTCGTGCAGTCCCACCTGCACCTCTCCTGCTCCAGGACAGGCAGCGAGTGTTGCTCTTGTTATACCCTCTTCATGTACAGAAGGCTGGCGATCAGCTCCACCTCAGTCTACTCAGCGGACAGCCTGAGCAGCCCGTCCCGCAGGGCCCAGTGAACCAGCAAGACGCACCAGCAAGCGGGCGACAGCTTGCACATACGGGCTGCTGCCCCAGCTCCACGGAGACCTCTTCCATCCCACGCTCAGCTCTTGCAGCAAAAATTACTCTTCTTTCTTTGGGCGCCTGACCCTCAGGCACAGCTGTGACCAGCCCCCCCCCCCCCTTTTGGTTACTGTTTGGGAGACCAAAAGATGCGACACGCCAGCCTTTCATTGACTGCAGGTCAATCCCGTGCCTTTAGCCTGTGCTGCAGAGCAGTTACTGTAAGGCGTCCTTCCTTCAGCTGACGCCCTCAGAAATTTTGGACTCTAGGTGCCATCAGCCCCAGCTACAAGCTGAGGTCTAAAATATCTGGATGCTGCAGATTCATGGAAGATGTTCAAAGGGATCCGGTGACTTTAGCAGCAGCTGCAGCTGCACACAGACCTGCTGAAAGAGCCGGCACGGAAGCATCCCAGTCACTTCAGTCCCAGCCAGGACACTCCCTGTAGGACCCAAGCGCGAAAGGCAGCATGCTGCCACTCCCCGCATTTAAAAGTATGCAAGGCCTTATTTTTTCAGAGAGGGTCTTGCAAAGTGAGCTCTTTTGAAATCTGCCTGTCGCTCGATGCATTGCAAGTAATGAGTTTGCTCCTCTTGAAACAAATGCGGCAGTAAATGCCCACATTGTAGCTTGCATGTTTTTTCTAACTGAAAGCAAGGGACACAGAGGGGCTTCCATCCTCAAGCTGAGTGATCGTTGCCACTTAAGCTGTACCACTGCCTAAGCAACGCATGTGTTGAATGCCTCCGATCTGAGCAACTCCTCAAAATAATTCTACACTGGGATCCCTCCAAAGCCCAAATGCAAAATATAAACAGCCATCTGAGTGAGATGGTTTAACTTGAAGTCCTGTGCTGAGCAGCGGATTGGACCCAAAGGCCCTCTGCCCCTCCCAACTCTATGATTCTAGAAAGAATCATTGCCCATTTCCTCTGAGCAAGCGGAGATCTTACACTATAGTTCTAATTACTTTCCATTCCTCAAATGCAAATAATATTGTCTGTTTTGAGTCCTGCCTTACTATGCAAAGGCTGAAATCCTATACTTCCTAGGGCGGATTGGATTTAAATGATTATGGTAAGACTAGATTTAAATCATGGTTTTTTACAGCATTTGCATGTGTGCCTGCCTTACCTGCAGATAGAGTAACTTCACTGAAATATTCCCAAGCTAGGTCTGCTGCCATTAAGTTTTCTTTTCAACAGAAAGAATAACAGGATTAACCTCAAGCTATACACAAGAAGATCCAAAGACTTATGGCGTATTCTGCTCAAAAGGGTTCACTTTCATTTTTACTGCTTCCCCCCCCCCTTCTCACACTTGGCTTCTCGTCTACTCCCAACAATTTTCTTCTATTAAATTTTTTGAAACTTAGCATTTAAGAGATAAGGGGTGGATTCTGTGTACATAGATTTGCAAAGGAACAATGGAATTAAGGTCTGTTTCTCAGCTCTATTTTATAAAATTTTTGCTGTGAAGGAGAGGCATCCCTACAGACACAAATGTTTTACTGTTTTGAGAACTGTAAAACCAAGCATAATATCTGTGATAATATCTTCTAGATATAAAAACCTTACAGAAACCTATGGAAGGCCATAACATTGTGAATGGATTAATAGAATTCATTTACCAAAAAATTTAATCATTGCATGAATATACAACCTAATACTACATCATTAAAAACTAAGTCTTACATCATGGTGTTGGACTATACTGTATCTTAAATAGAAAACTACCTTTAGATAGATTTTTCCTCAAAAAGCAAAAAGGGTTCTCTGATTAGGCCTGCAGGGGATTGTCTTCTGAGGATATCTTGTCGGTCTCTCAGATTTGAGATGCTGGGGCTCCACATTAAGAGACTATTACATGGAAAAAGAGGCTTAACCTGAAGGTGATCAAAGAGCCATCACTGTGATTTGTTTCCTTGCAATTTGCATAAAAATGATCCTGTCGGATAATTATTTTCACAGTTTATTTGCCTAGCAGATTTAGTAAATATGTCTAGCAGTAGGTTTGTCTAGTAGTATAGTAAAACTGGAATTTGGTTCCACAGCAAGTGGTGATGGCCACCAATTTGGGTGCCTTTAAAAGGGGATCGGATTCGTGGCGGGACGGATACTAGCCTTGTTGCCCCTGTGCTGCTTTGGTTAGCAGAGGCGGCACAGCTGCACACGCTAGTTGCTGAAGAGCCAGGGTGGGAGGTGGTCTTGCACCCATCTTGCTTCTGGGGAGAGCTGCTTTGCCACCATGTGCACAGAATCCTGGACCAGAGTTGGACCTTTGGTCTGATCCAGCATGGCTTTTTAGGTCCTTAGATTCATACTGAATTACACCTTAAGCTCAGGTGACCCAGCTAAATTAAAATGTAGCTTGCTTTGCACAGTCTGAAAATGTTTATTTAGCAGACTTATATGCCGCCCCATTCACATAAGCCTCAGGGCGGCTTAAATAAAAAGGTCTTCGCCTGGCACCAAAAAACAAATGACAGTGCCAGGCGGACCTCTCTGGGGAGCGCATTCCATAGGTGGGGCGCCACTGCAGAGAAGGCCCTCCTCCGGGTACTCACCCTCCTAATGTCCTTCACAGAAGGTTCCCGGAGAAGGGCCTCTGCTGCTGATCTCAAGGGACGGCTGGGCATATATGGACGTAAGCGCTCCTTCAGGTAACCAGGACCCAAGCCGTTTAGGGCTTTATAGGTCATAACCAACACCTTGAATTGGGCCCGGACTTCAATGGGGAGCCAGTGAAGCTGACGGAGGACTGGAGTCATGTGAGCACAACGCCCAGTCCCCGTCAGCAACCTGGCAGTTCTGTTTTGCATCAATTGAAGTATCCGGACCGTCTTCAAGGGCAGCCCCATGTAGAGTGTGTTACAGAAGTCTAACTTCTGTAGATTTCATCTAAATTTTTTTAATTTTTTTTGTAAATTTCATCTAAAATGAAGTTTAGATGCTTTGAAAATATTTTATAACTGTCAAAAGTAGCTTATGATTTCTGAAGCCTTTAACTTCCAAGTTTATGTAAATTTGTAATACAATTTATATATGCTTTTTCTATTTTGATTTTTATGATAGCTTGAAACTTGTTTGGCTTTTATATCAGCCACTGTAATAAAAATGCATTAAATAGAGCTTCATTAAAAATGAAAACAATTATCAATAAATATCTAGTTTCTGCAATAAAAATTGGTGGTGGACGAGAAAGTACTTGGCAAAACTGCAAGGTAAAAAACTGCCCATCCTAGAGCAGCCCTGTGATTCTGACCCAACTCTGGTGTCCAGCAGGAACATTTCTAGAGGGGTGGAAGAGACAGTGGTTGCAAAGCCAATATTGTGGTACCCTAAAAACTAATACACTTACTACAGCATACACTTTGTTAGGCTCAGTTAAAGCATTACTTAAAGCAGTGAGGTCGGAAGAAAACAACAGTCGGAGTTTGCATGGCATGACAAGCTGTTGTGGGTGACAAGCCGTGGTGCATTGTCGTATTGGGTGAACCTGGACCACTTTCTGCAGCGATTTGTTTGTGGGCAACAAGCCGCCTCATGGTCAACGGCTTGTTTTACCAATAGTTTGACCCATGATGGGTTGCTGCATCTGAACCCTGCACAGAACCTAAGGGGTTTACCATATTATTCTTTCCCTGGAGGAGAAAACTGATACTGGCAGTAGGCCATAAATGGGGGCAGACTGGGTTTGGGATTCTTTCATTGAAGTTCCTCTACCCACAGGCACACATGCAAATTATGTGGAAACCCATGATTTAAATGTAGTCTTAGTGATTAGATAAATTGTGATTTAAATCAATCTAAATCAAATCCACCCTACTGAAAAATAAAGTACGATTTTCAATTGTGTGATTGGTATATTTGGAATATAACAATTATAATTTAACTTGTGATATTAAAGTGAGAAAAGGGTATACAAATAATTTTATGAGATTTGTGGTTCATCTATAATGTGTTAAAAAGGAAAGCACTTGAACCATTGCAATTTTGGGAGGGGGATGAAGCTTCTTGAAAAATTTTTTGAAAGTTTTTAGCATGTATCTAATGGTCTCAGTGGTGGAATACACAGTGTTTTTTATGCTTTATTTCAATTGTTATGTTTAATGTAGTGTATTTTTATTGATTTTAATTATATTTGGCATTGTTAAAATAAAAAATTTAAAAGAACAAAGGCTTGCAGGTTTACTCAGAAGCCTGAGTAAGTTCACATAGTTACATACATATAAATGACCAGAGACATATTCAAAAGTGAAGCAGTTCATCTTCCTGAAACTCCCTGAAACTTAGGGAGAGCTTAAATATCTGTGCCAAAGCTGCATGTTAAAGACAACAGTTTATAGGGCAGTACAGGGATTCTTAAACACTTTTTTCCATATAAGAGCCAAGAGATGACGTTTGGAGACATCCTAGACCTATCTGCTTTAATTACAAGCAAGTTCCACCAAGTTAAATTGGCCCTATTCCAAGGGATAAGTAACTATAGCACTGCACTCTAAATTGGTTAAAGTTATGTCACAACAGGACATCTCACTTCTGTTTATTATATTTATATCCCACCTTTCTTGCATTGTAGAACTCATGACCCTGTATGGTTCCCATGCAGGGAACCCCCAAGCACTGGGCACTGCTTAACTGAACAGGGGCTGCCTCCTGTGCCTTCAGACTTTGCCCTGGGCCTGGGTGCATGACAGACAGTGCTATCCTACATGCTGGTACTCAATGGGAAGGTCTGCGAAGTTCAACGATGCCTACTTCCAAGTCAGGGAAGTGCAAGGCTGCCTGAAAAGGGCTCACTGCTTGATTCTTCCACAGGAGCGGTGGATCTGGCCTGGACAGCCATGTGAGAGGGATCGTTTAATTCCATGTCCTACACTGAGCAAAGGGATGGACCCAGTGGCCTTCTAGCTCCTTCCAACTCTACTGTTCTATGATTCCATTTCATGCCTGCCACATGCAATAAATGAATAGCCCTTCAGACAAAACAAGCAGCCTCATCTCATGCTGCATGGCCCCTGGAGGCATGTCCTTTGAACAGTGTACTTACACCACCACTGAAGAATATAAGAACCACCCTCCTGGATCTGACCCAAAGCCCAGCTAGTCCAGCATTCTAGGTTCACAGTGGCCAACAAGATGCCCCAACAGGAAGCCTACAAGCAGGACATGAGTACAATTCAGCATGCTGTGGTTCATCTTCTCCAGAAGCTGGAACCAAGAAACATGGGTCACTGCTATGCAACCAGGACTTGTGCTTGGTGAGAGGAGGTTAAGATGATGGCAGAACACATGCACATCTGTCACGGTGTAACTGATTACATGTGGAGAACCACCAAGCCGCCATCCAATTCCATCGGTGTGACTGCCCACCAGAGATGCAGCCCAGGGCCATCTCAGATCAGACTAGGCCACCCTGTCCTAGAACACAGAGAATGGAGAAAAGTGCATTTGTCCATTGGCTACATTTATTTCAAGGGCAAAGAAGACAGCAGACCTTCTCCTTTTATGCTCCCAGGCAACGAAACAAAGCTGTGCTGCCTAGCAAAGCTGTCCAAGGCAGACTCAATTCCAAAACGGCAACCCCTCAACACTGCTGAGAGATCACGGGGACAGAACAATGGAAAGGGGCACCCTGCAACTGCCACTGGAGCCTAAGAGTCAGGAACACCTGCTGCGGTGGAGGGCTGCTCCGCTCGGCCCAAGAGAAATGAAGGCGGGTGGAGGCACTACACAAAGAGCGCATGGGGCATCACTCCGGGAGATTCTGCTGGGCTTCTCTGGTGCTCAACAAATCCTCCCGGTAGCCCTTCAGCAGCTGGTTCACCAGGGTCTTCTCACTGTCATGGGGGCGGAGAGGAAGTGGAGGGAGTGCGTTCCCCTTGTACTCAATCACAGCCATCTTGGCTCGGTCCAGGTTCTCTCGGTTGGGAATCTGGTGCATGCGAGTGTAGTGCCCCGTGTGAGCCTGGAAGCGTGGAACCAGCACTTTGAAGAGCTTGTGGATCAGGTCCTTCTCCTGCAGGAAGAGTAAGACGCGGCAGGTTGGCGGCGGCGGCGGCGGCGGCCCGGCACCCCCGCCCGCCCGCCCGCCGGGAAGCGCCGCCTGCTCACCGTCAGCCAGAAGTCGGCCATGCGCATAGCCGCGGGGTCTCCGTCGCCGCGCTTGGCGTAGTCAATCAGCTGCCAGGCAGGAGAGGGGGGGAAAGGCCGGTTAGGAGGCGCTCGTGCCGGGCACCACTCGGGGCAGGGACCCCCGCGCGCCCAGGGCAATGCCCGGCGGCCGGGCGGGGAAAGGCCGAGCGCGCCCCCCCCCCCGACGCTCACGTGCTCCGCGTAGAAGCGCATCTCGTCCACGCGCGCGCGGGGCGCCTCGATCCGCTCGTGGCGCACCAGCCCCGTGACCAGGTTCCGCAGCAGGTCGAGGCGCGAGCGCGGGCCGAGCCCGAGGCGCCGCTGCACCCGCCCGTGCGAGATCCAAGCCGCCGCCGAGAGCCTCATGCCGGAGCCGCCGCGGCCGGAAGGCCCTTCGTCTCGCGGCCGGTGGGAGGGGGCCGCCGCGGCGCCTGCCGCGTGATGATTGGCTGAGCGAGGAGCACGCGCGGAAGTGACGACGCGGCGGCGGCGGGCTGGGCGAGCGCGGGCGAGCCGGGACGCGTCCTCCCGGCCACGGAGACGCACTTGTGCCGGTGGGTAGAGCGGCGCGGCTCGCTTCCGGCACGGCCGGGCCCCGCGCCGGGCGCTCTCGTGGGCCGCGCGGGGAGCCGCGGGGCGTCAGCGGCCGCTCAGGGCGGAGGAGCAGCTCGCTCGCGCGCCGCGCCCGGAGCCCCAAGCCCGCTGCCCGCGCCCCTCGCAGGGCTTGTCTGGGCGGCCTTGCCCCGCCGCGCCGCTCGCCCAGGGGAGCCGCGCCGCCTCCCTGAGGCAGTGGCCGGTGCGAGCCGCCCGCGCCGCTTGGCCGCCGGGCCCGATGGCCTCTGCCACGCCGCCAGGGCGGGCGAGAGGAAGCGCTCGCCGACCGGCTCTACGGGTGGTACAAGCGGATCGGATGGCTTCGAAAGGGATTGTTCCGATCCTTGGAGGAGGAGTCCCTCGGTAGCCACTAGGCTTGGTGGCCACCTGCTGCCCCAGCAGAGGTGGCATGCGTGCACGCGCAGGATGAGGTCTCTCCTACCTACCCTTTGGGCTGCTGGTTTATTCGCGTGATCGTCTCTTACGGCCTTATGACAGCTGCTGGCTGTCGAAGCAACAATAATTTGTTCTGGTCTGCACTGCACTGGAGCAACGATCATTTGCTTTGGCCCACACTGGTGCGTAGCCCTCGCCAGGCCCCCGGTGTGCGTTCAGTTCCGGCAATGAGTTGATTTCCAGGGAATGGCAGGCAGCTTTAGGTAAGGGCTGCTGTTTGCCTTTCCTCCTTGGTTTCTAAGAAGTGCTCTCTTTTCTGGTTCGTTCTCAGCAACAGCCTCGTTGCAGCATTCACGCCCATCTGCATGGTCCCCTGCCTCTTTCTGTATTTGCTGCTTATGTCTCCCCATTGAGCTTGGCAGGGAAGAGAGGTGCTGAGCCGGAGCTCCTACTTCCTGCTGCCTCTGCTTTCGTTGTGGTTGGCTCTGTATAACAGTCTAACACACTAGAGAGAAGGAGCAGGCAGAAAATAGGTTAGGGATCATCTGGTGGGGCAACAATCGGGTGCTTTGTCTATCTGTGAAGGAACAAGTCTGGCTTGACATTGATAAGATAGCTTTTGGGATATCTGGGGGTCATTGTTTTATCTGGGTGTGCTGGTCAGTGTTATATTTGAGAAGCAAAATGTGCAGCTAACATGTGCTGATTCTGAGTGTTACGACACCGGAGAACTGGGGGTTCCATGTAACGGTCAGTTGAAGGCAGAGAGGGCAAGGCAGATTTGTCATTTTGTGGTGTGGGGAAGTCTAGGTTGCAAAAGTTTCTGGTTTTGCAAAATTTCATGCAGACAACTCTGCAGAAGGAATTTGGGCGGGGGGACACTCCCAGTTGGCCCTATTAAGCTGTTAAACCATTTTTCCTGATAATAATGTTCTTAAAGCAAATTTCTAGTAAGTTGTTTAAACATTGTAGTCTCTTTACTATTGCATTACCAACCTGACATCTAAATGCAGATCCTTACAGTATCTAAAAGTGGATACAAGAGACCCAGAGGTCTTAAGGATGTTTGGTAGAGTAATGGGGAAAATGGAACTTTCCATCCGGAAAGAATGGAAAGGTTATAGAAAGGAGAGGACATACAAGTGAGCTCCTCTGGCCCCGTCTCTCTTCCACTTACAGGTCAGGATAAAGTAATCAGAGCATTATGAGATCTAACTTTTTATGGTCTGGCTGAGAAAGGAGAAAACTGGCTTGGGCTTTGGAAACTGACAAGGCGGAACCGGCTGCTGTCACAATAAGGCCACCCAGTTACAAGAAGACCGCAGAAGCGGGAAACCTGCCATAGATACTGGGTTTTAGCAGTCTCGTACCTCATGGCAACTGGTTGCCACAATTGAGTCCATTGCTGGAGAGGCTGTTGTAGCGCTGGAATTAGTGTGGCCGCGAGGTGGTGGTGGCGTTCTCTGGGCACACTTGGCTCTTGCAGGAGGGGAGCCATCCAAGGGGAGGGGGAGCTTCTAGAATGCTGACTCAGCCAGAGCGTTCTAGGCTGGCTATGTACATAATGGGTTGCCAAGGGCAGCCGGTGGAGGAAAAATGCGCAAGAGGTGCAGATCCCACAGGGTGGTGGTATTCATCCTGCACTGACCATGGCTGGTGGGTACCAGCTGTGGGCACCCTGGTCTCCACTGGATGAGTCCCTGCAGTGGCTGCGGGGCACCATGCCCAGGCTCAGTGGCACCAATAACCCCCTTCAGGGTGGGCAGAGCCCAGCTGCTGCTGACCTGGAAGTTCAGCTTTGCTTCCAGGGACTCAGCCTGGTGCTGGAGCCTGGTGCCAAGGCGGGATCTGGACTGCCACAGCCCCCTGGGGCTGCAGGAGAGACAAGGGGGCGCGCCGGGACAGTGCGCAAGCCTCAGGCTGTGCGCCTCACAGGGCTTGACTCTGTTTTCGGCCGCCTTGTGACGGCACAGCCCCCACGATGGACCAGCTCGCTGAGGGTCTCGGAGCACTCAGCTTTTTGTCAAGTTGTAAGCCCCCACCAGTGCTGGCCCCGTGGGCTCCGGGAGCCACAGGTGCGTGTGGCTATGGCCATGTGCCGGCAGATGCTGCGCGCCATTCTCCTGCTTTATGCCGTCTACAAGAAATGTGCCTTCGCGCTGCAACATTCCCGCTGAGGCCTGCCTGTAGGTTCGTTTCCCCAAGCACAAGGCAGCCGCATGCCTCACCTCAGTGACACCAGCCTCCCTGATTAGCAGACCTTCTGCGTCTCTGCGCTCCTCTGTACCTAAATGACATTCCTTTCACAGAAAATAAGTACCAACACGATCAAGCTGGTATGGAGACAATCCACAGGCCATCTGCAAAGAGCGTAAATCAACCATAGCATTCTGTTTGCCCAGCCATAAAGAATTCAGGAAGGTCCATTTTTAGCAATATGGAGAAGCTACAGTGTTGCAACATCCAGCTTGTCCATGGAAAGAACAAAGCAAACAACTGGTGAAAAGACAGGAAAACCTTTTGCCCAATATAATCGTTAAACTGCAAAGAGCAAGAAGCAAACCATTATATATGGGAGCAAAGGATGCAAGAACACTGAAACAGATCAGACAAGTTTTGACACATTGTGAGAAGATATTCAGAGATGTGCACCTGATGAGAAGCTGTTTGTACACAATCACATGTACCATTTGCTTTACAATAATATTTTCCAACACAGAAAAAGCTTCGTTGCAATAATGACTAAAACAGAAATGAATAATACACCTGCCAGCAGCATTGTGCTGGAGACTGCAAGGACATTTGTAGAGGAGCAAGTGGAGAAGTGCTGAGGGTATTTTGAATATAGTACAAATAGTATTGAGAACTGCTAAATAAAATGTATCATTTCATCTATATTTTAAAGTCCTGTACAAAAAGTTTGCTTTTCTTAAGGGTACAATCCTAATTTATTTATTCAATTTGTTTGTTTAACCTGCCCAGTTAGCCAGCCATAAGGTTCTCTGGGCGAGTTACAGCAGAAGATAGCAAAATGCTGCCTGTGTGGGAGATGCTTGTAAGCCCCCAAATCTTGGGGGGCCTTCAAGCACCTTACACTTGACATGGAGGGCTGGGTGTTTTCTAGAGAGAGTGGAGTTCAGAAGACCTCATAGCGGCTACTGGTGGAAGCTTCTGGTCTCCCAAATAATGGCAGGAGCCTGAAGGACTGAGCACTTAAACAATCACTGTCGTTACCATTCACAGATGAGACTTCCAGGTACTGGAAGATGACGACGACGACAACAACAGTGACATTGCATGTAGGCGACCTCCTATTTGCAGGGACCTGAGGTTGCAAGACTCTCTTACACGGTTCTCTTCTCCACTTGATCCTCACACTGCCCAGTCATCCACTAAGCTGTATGGCTGAGGGAGGGCTGCTGCCTAGAAATCCCAAGTCCAAATCCAACACTTTAACTACTATGTCATACTACCTCTAGTTTGCTGTATAAGGTTCAGCTAACCCTAACCTTGTACAAGGTTCAGCTTTTTTATAAAAATCACATTATTTTCTGTTTTGTTTTCAGTGGGTTATGAAGAAAAACAGCTTTCAAATTTGTCAATAAACTGAAGTAGCTTAAAAATGGCATATCCTCCATTCCATAGTCTTACTCTAGTGCCTTTCTCTAGAACTCGTCTCTGAGCTCATTATAAAGTAGGTGGTTTGAGTTCTCAAGTCTAAAGAGTAGTCTTGATTTCATTGTCTATATCCCCAAAAGTACTCTTAAGCTTAAAGCCAACAGCAACATTTACCACTGCACTAACAGAATATGTTGGAATTTACTGAAATAGTCATGCCAGATTATTATTATTATTATTATTATTATTATTAT